GTAAGGAGCTAATAGATTTTTAGCCGCGGTATAACGGCTGATAAAATGGCTCCGAGTATTTTTCAAGCACAAACTTTTAGCTCATAGTTCCATCTCTTGGCCGATTTTAGATCTAATTACAGCCGCGGCGATTGAGGATTCCCTCTCGTTACAGAGTCATTCTTATGAAAGAAAAAAAAAACCTTAATGGAATTATAAACCAGAGTTAGCCTACAATCCCTACATATTCATATCGTACAATGTGCAACAATTCTAATTTTGAAACACTACAGTACAATAATCAATACTGGCGTAAAGACCTTAAAGGGGCCTTTGATCCAAGTATAGTGACAATGACTGCTTGCTGAACAGGAAAACAATGTAAATATCATGAGAATCTTTTAGTATCTTTGAATATGATCACAGTACTTTCTCAGCTTGAAACATTAAAATATTACACAACTCAGAAGTTATTCAGACCGTAACATAAGTTACTACTTACGACGCACAAGAGTACATGTAAAAAAAATACAAAGAAAATCTCGAAAAATGTGAAGCTCCATTACGTCGTTTAAACGAATCTCCACCATAAGATAATATATATATATTCTTTACTCGTAGCTACAGTTCCAATGTGACGCATCAAGTAATTGCTTGACTGCTCCTTCACCTAGCGGTAGATGTCATTAGGTTCGCCAACTATGAACAGCTGACGTTTAACAGTTAGTGGAGAGCACCACGAAACTCGAGTTGTGATAGACGTTCAACTCGAATATCCTCACCCTAAAGACGCCACCGTTTATATAGAGGTATGGTAGAGAAGATGGAGAGAAACACTTAACGTGTTATCATTTTGCAACATTCGCTTTAAGGTGTATTTTGTTCAGAATTTCCATTTTAGTGTGAACAAATTTAGTTTGAAATAAAAAGCAAAGCGTATCTGATGTCACTACGTATTTTATTTATCAATATATATATAAGTAAGTAGCTACTTGTAATGTATTGGTGGGAATATACAGTGGTCACGTGTAGCAGTTATTAACAATCTCTTTAATTTTGATACTGATACATGGTACGATATAGGCATAGCTTTGGAAAGATTTTTCTGGGGATTTAATGGACAGTGGTCAAATATGAAAGTGTGCAAACATAATGCTATATATATGTCTATTTTCCTTTCAATGCAATGATTAGAGTTTCCATACAAGTACGTTGTACATGTACCTTAACCATTTGTCGAGATATGTCTTAATAATTTGATCTACGATCTCTAAATATAGAAGTAAACGAATGAAAAATATATATTTCATCCTGTGGCTAACAACCTGGTAGTGATAACACTCATAAGGTACATAACCACTTACAGGTAAATTTAATACAATACATAATTAGATATATTCCTGAGTCTATAATTAGATAAATCGGTTATTTTTTTAGAAACGTCAAAATATATTGCATTTTGTATAAAATAAATCAGTGCTGATGACGGAATTATAAATATATGTTTCAGAGACATCGCTATTCTGTCTTACAAACAAACACAAAGTTTATTAGTACACATTTTGTTAGATATCAACCATCTGAAACTAAGAAGAAATAACATTTCTCGAGTTATTGGTATCTTAAAATATGTCAGGTCACGAGTTTACATTATTAACTGAAAAAAGTACCAATGCTGAGAAATACGTAATAATATACATTATTATAACGGTTTCGGTTGTTGGACGAATTTTTTTATTATTATTATTATTGGTACAAATATTGCAAAGTAAAGTCCAGTTAACGAAATGAAAAGCATTTTATTTCTTCTATCACAAGTTCTATAATCTCACCTAGTGATAGAACTAACTCGTAAATAAAACTTAACTCATTAACTTTCCCTTCGTATCTACGATACAGACTTAAAACTGGCTAACTACTACAGCCACTAACGACGACACTGTAACAGACTCATTAACTAACTAATCAACAACAATTTTCTAGCATTTTTTACATTATTACAATACCCCCCACCCTCAAATCTCAAGAAAATCTGAGACATCATGTCAAATCTAGACACTCAAGACACAATTTTAGTAACCTAGCAACGATGATGTGTAACGCCTAGAAAAAATTATACAACTTTTAGTTCCATTATATCTAATTAATGCTACACGAGGTTCTGTTGTCAATATATGTGTGTGTGTGTAATGTTTACGCGAGGTGTCTTTTTCACGAAAATTAATAATTTCCATCAGTATTGTAAGAATATTGATTTGAGTTTCTAGATTTTGGTTGTATTTTAAGGCATAATTAAAAACGTACTTAAGAAAGTGATAAGTTCCATGTACAATAACACACCATACAAGTGAACATCTGAGCACCTATCACTTTGCAGTGTGCGTTTCCCAGTAGTGAGTGGGTTAGTTCTATGGTAGAAATCTAGTTTTCGAGGCTTGCGAGCCGGGTTCGAATCCGTGCAATACCACAAAACCGCTGTATGTGCGTTATAAGAGTGGCGGTCACTCCTTTAGCTTAGGTAGTAGGGTGCTTCTGACTGGTCAGTAGTTAAAATTTAGAAATGACGACAGATAGGGAAAAAAAGATAAACAGGTGACAGAAGTTTTAAAATTGGTTTCTTTTTTTTATTATTATTCTCACATAAATCAGAGTGATATTTAAAGTTAAAATGGACCTCAACTAATCACAACATGAAATCATTTCCCGTGACTTTCGGCCTAAACGATAGTATGTCAAAGGATTTATAACGTTAAGCCTTATTCTTCCTCCATGTTTACGTGTACAGAATAGTAAGTAGCTTATCAACACATGAAAGCTACATCGAAAAGACGAATTTGAACTTAAGTATTTGTTAATTATCTTGAATTATTATATAATTGTGTGGAAGAAATGGTAGATTACTTACGAGAACAAAAGAAGACACGATCTCGTTTAATCTTCCATTTTATTGACCTGCAAACACGGTAATGAGTAGCTAATACACATACAGCACAAATGAGTAGCTAATACACATACAGCACAAACACGTACTTTTACGAGTATAACAACTTATTTGTTTGTTGTCGTTGTTATTTTTTTACTTTTGATACACCTACACAGACAACAATAATTTCAAACCACAAAAAAGTCCAAGATACTCACTACGAGTCTTATTCATCACTGACCATATTTTGCAAGTCTCGGTCAATTGACATGGCAACGTATCAAAAGGCTCCAATCAATTCCCGCGACGAACCAATGTGTCGGCTATCTCTATGGTCGAGCTTAATAGAGATCAGTTCGCCAACATAAATTTGAAAGTCCTCGAAAACCATTCAGTCTGCGGTCGACTTTCACCCATAATTAGGTTTGTATGTATGTATATATATTACGTTTGTGTGTGTGTATATATATTAGGTTTGTAATATATATGGGTATTTTCACTTCTCCAAATTTTTATTGACATTTCTGAAATCAGCATTAAAAACTACATTCAATATATATATATATATATATGATGAGTTACAATAAATCGTTCATAATCTCCCTAGCTTCAAAACATTACTTTACTTTTACATTTTTCTTGACTAACACATTCCAGCCATTCTATCGAGGACCCGGCATAGCCAGGTGGTTAGGGCGCTCAACTCGCAATCTGCGGGTCGCGGGTTCGAATCCCGTCCCACCAAACATGCTCGCCATATTAGTTGTGGGGTCGTTATAATGTTACGGTCAATCCCACTATTCGTTGGTAAAAAGAGTAGCTCAAAAGTTGGCGGTGGGTGGTGATGACTAGCTGCCTTCTCTCTAGTCTTACACTGCTAAATTAGGGTCGGCTAGCGCAGATAGCCCTCATGTAGCTTTGCGCGAAATTCAAAACAAACAAATCATTCTTACGACACATTAAATATTTCCCATAGTTCCTCGCACGCTACAAAATTTCTTGCACATTTCCCCGACTGCTCAAAATTTCACGTCCTTCTTAACTACAACCACTTTCTGCGCGCACGTTCTCTTTACATTTAGAAAATGATTTTCAGAAATCTTCAAGCTTAGACAACAACAAAAAATATCCATTATTCTACTCACTAGAGTATTTACAAGTTTACTGACAGCTCTGAAGGATGTCAAGACAAACAAGGAAATTGCACGCGCCAGAACCGAACATCCGAATCATATAAAAAGAGTACACGTAGTGCGACTGCGCTACTACGTCCACTCCTAGTTGTACTTGTGTTTATTACCATAGGCTACTTAGATATCACACTTACGTGCTTTAAAAATAAAGTAAGAACGTGTCATTGCGCAGACACTTGATCGCATAGAAATATTTATAAATAATGGCTACTCTATCATACTAATTGGTGAGTATCGTGATCTTACTTCTAAATCTAACATAACTTAATCAATCGTTACACAGGGATGTTAGGAAATTCAATTGAGATACTCGTATTCTGAAAGAGTCAGCCTTATTACATAATCCTTTAAAAACGCCCGCCAATCTGATTATGAGAGATATAACGTGTAACAAAAGAAATTTAATTGTATATGTTTTTAAATAGTAATTTTACCATTTTATGTAAGATATTACATGTATATATTTCTTACCTCAATTTCTGAGAACTGAAACAGATGGGTTTCATAGTACAGAACATAACGCCAATGGGTATTAATTAATAGAACCTGTCGTCTTCGAGCACTTTTGAATCTATGCCAAAAATTTTGAGACTGCAATATATTGTTAGATATCGGATTTCTTTAATCATCAAAGTGTGTTTATCCATTATAATTGTTGTGTGATGTGACCATCAAAAACCCACTGAAACATATATGTAGTGGTGTATAATAGAGTAAGAAGCCTGATTCTATATTCTAATATGATTAATATCGCTATCATTCCACCAGTTTCTTGTTACTGACTGATCAAACACTCTTTTTTTTAACAGTTTTAACAATGCTATTAAACTTGTTCGATTTGAAAGTACACATTATATGGAATAGATCAAAACGTTAAACATGTGGTTAAGTCAGTGGTTACTCACCTAACAGGCGCCTGTATTCGACAAAAGGAGAGAACGCCACCAATATAAACGTCACAAACCGACAACGGGAAACGTCAGTTTACCAGATGCGATGTTTAATAACACTAAGCAGATGGCACCACCCTCAAGCGACCCTTTTATTGTCCAACTGTCTATTGTCCCATCAACTAACAACATCCATTTATACTTCTTATCGGTTAGTGTTAGGTCTAAATCGGTTTTACTTCTACTTTAGTTCACAACTACATTCAAAAGGGTACCCACTTTCAGTTATCCACATACTGCATGACGTAGTGTGATTAAGAACTGCACACGTGCATGGGGCCTACCTCACGAGGACGTGAATCTCCGCCACATAGTACTTTCTGTAGCGAACAGCAGTAAACCTTACACCCGCTACGTTTTCATACATAAACACTACCAACCATGACGTCAGTGTCTTTTAAAAGCGTCTCGCAGCAGTTGTGGGCGTGGTTGCTTACTATAGATGGCGCTCCTACCAAAAGTAGGAGAGAAGCCCGATATATATCAGTTTGTTATTAAGCACAATGCTTCCCCCGATTAACGAATCGTTAATTAATATCAGATTCTAGCAGTCTCACTGCTTTGGGCTTATCTTTCCTTTTGTTAGAGCTAGAATTATATTACCAGCTTTTGTGATAATTAGCTTTTAGCATTATATAGTTGTAAGAGTTTATGAAGAGAGAGACAACCGGTTATGAAAGCATTTCATGAAACAATTTTTTATGAAATATCAAAAATAAAAACATGCAAATTTAAAAAGCCTGATTTGTAAACAGTCGCTATTATGACGCAGTTAATATTAAACGAACAAACCCTACATTTAAGAGCTTAGCCCCCCAGCGACACAGCGGTATGTCTGCGGACTTACAACGCTAGAATCCGGGTTTCGATACCCGTGGCGGGCAGAGCACAGATAGCCCATTGTGTAGCTTTGTGCTTAATTACAAACAAACTTGAAGAACTTACAAGAAGATTTCCATATACAGAATGAGACAAAAGTTACTACACAATTGGTATAGTTTGTACTAAAGAAAATATTACAAAAAAACAGTTGCAACCAATTTAAGTATTATTTGTCTCAGAGTAATCGTTCGAAATTACATTTTGTTCAGAATGAAACGACTGTATAGTCATTTCTTCCCCCAGACTTAACCAATACAAACATGAACTTGTTTGTCAGGTGGAAATTGAAGTTTAACAATATTGTTAAAGGCAGAACATCTCCAAGAAACACGCATATCTTTAATCACACGTTTCGGCATTAACAAGCCCTACCTTCACCAAGCTTTAATTGAAACAGTTTAAAAGTGTGCTATAAGATATAGAAATAGCAATGTAAATAAAATAAATATATATGCTAAGAGATGTAATTTATGACAATTAAATGTATAATTGCTTACAACTGTGATTCATTGGAACAGAAAATTGTACATCAAAATATACATAGCTAGAAGGAAGTTTGGTTACTAATTAGGATGTGTTCGTTTGTTGCTAAACACGAAGCTACACAATGGGCTACCTGTGCTCTGCCATTCACGGGTATTGAAACTCGGTTTTAGTGTTATAAGCCATCAGACTTACCGCTGAGCCACTTGTAATTGTTAAAGTTTCTTTGATTAAAATTTTATTTGTTGGCGAATCCTGAGTAAGGAATTTAAATTTGTTTATTAATTCTATGAATGAAAGCAAAGAAGAAAATGTAATTAAAATACGTCGACAACACTATAACTGCCGAAGAGACCTTTCGCCTTATACCAAGGTTTGGACCGATAGATGTAATTAGGCGCCATTTATATCATCAATTTTCCTGAACAATTGTTACGGTGTGAACTAAAATAAGTAAGTAAATTGTAATTATTATCAAATTTTATTAAAGGCATTAAAAATTTAGTATTATGATAAATTTAATAACACAATATTATTTATTTTTAACATCAAATATTTATTTATTATTATTTGAATTATTTACCATTATTCAGAAGCAACAATGAACCAGCAAGCTCGTTTCCGAGGTGAGTCATACAACCACAGCGTCAACGGGAGAAAAGTATGTTAGTAATTCTATGAACTCATGAGTGAAAAAGAAAAATATGTAATAATACATCAACCACACTATACTGCCATATCCTATGACGACGAGGCCTTTTGTCGAATACCAGAGCTTATCAAACCGGTTGAAGATAAGGTTGTTATTGTCTTCGCTGAGCATGCGTATTGTATAGTCAACATAATTTAAGAATTTTGACTAGTTCTGCTATGCAATCGCATGTGTTCATACGCTCGTATGTGTACTCGACGTATTGTTTTGTTTATGTAGGTGGTTTTAATTCTACTTTGGATCTGGAGTCTAAGAAGAGTGTTCTGTTTGCCTAAAAAAAGAGTGACCAGTATTGGCTAATATTTTGAAGAAGTATTTGGTTTCGCGGAATGTTCTGTCTTTATGTGATCTGGTTTGAAGTAAATGTAAGGGCATATTTCGAAGTAGTATGTGGATAACCATTATTTTTAATATACTCTGTAACGAGGTTTTGTAAGAATGGATAGTCAGAACAACTGTTTTACGTTATGTTAGAAAGGTTTATCATTAGCTTACATTTCAAAGAGGTTACAATAAAGCTGTTAAGGCGAATTTTTAAACCTGTAAATGTTTTCTTCTGCTAGACAGATGTAAATGTAAAGATTCCTTCAGTTTATAAAAACACAATATTCTTAGACCTATTATATATATATATATATAGCATTGAATTTCATACGTACAAATTAGCCAAGTTTCTAAGTCCATATAAACTCAACGTATTTGTTCTTAAAGGCTCTCTCTCTTTCTCCCGTGAATTTTCTAAAATTCATATTGTTAATTATTTTGTAATAGCTAACTTTGACATAGAATCCTAAGTTTCACTCGAAGAAACAGTTAAAGTAATTTTAATTAACTTTCCTTAATATAAACTAGCTTTAAGCTAGCTTTAACAGCCAACAACTTGAATAACTATTTAAACTTGTCCTTAAGGACATTCACTTTGTTTTCAACGGTCAACTTAATGAACAACAGATGGCGTGGCAACGGGGACACATTTACAGCCGTCATGTGCAAAAACATATGTCTTTGTCACCATGAGCGCCATTGGCTACTAAGAACTCGCGGAATAAAAGCCAACTTTAATATAAGCTTCTACAGAAGATATGCCGATGACACTTTCTTCCCCTATCGCAGTATTAAACATGTTAATTTGTAAATTGTTTGTTTGTTTTTGAATTTCGCGCAAAACTACACGAGGGCTATCTGCGCTAGCCGTCCCTAATTTAGCAGTGTAAGACTAGAGGGAAGGCAGCTAGTCATCACCGCCAACTCTTGGGCTACTCTTTTACCAACGAATAGTGGGATTGACCGTCACATTATAACGCCCCCACGGTTGAAAGGGCGAGCATGTTTGGTGTTACGGGGATTCGAACCTGCAACCAGCAGATTGCGAGTCGAGCGCCCTAACCACCTGCCCATGCTGGGCCAATTTGTAAATTATATAAATTGTCAATATTCCTGTTGTATTAAATGTACCTGTAAAATATAATCAAATTAAAACTTGTTCTTTCTAGACGTCCAAGTCAACGCAAGACAACATTTACACACTTACAAACTCGCTTTGACAGCTGTATTTCAAACTCTGTTAAATGCAATCTCGTGCTAAACCTTTTCAACAAAGCAAACAAAACATCCTAAAAAATTAATGGTTTTCCACGTGCTACATCAAAATATTTGTTAATACTGGTCACTTCTTTCTTAGGCAAACAAAGCACTTTTTGGGAGACTCAAATCCAAAACAATATTATCCACAGATTAAACTATTAATGGTTTCCATGTCCTATGTTAGAATTCAAAATCTGTATAGAACCAAATCATTTTGTCTATTTATGATGTTCTCTTTCAGACTTTAAAATATGTTTAGAACCAAATCCTTTTGTCTTGTTTCAGGTCCTATTTCTGTTTAGAACAAAATCCTTTTGTTTGGTTTTCAGGTCCTCTTAATGTTTAGAACCAAATCCTTTTGTCTGGTTTTCAGGTCCTGTTTCTGTTTAGAACCAAATCCTTTTGTTTGGTTTTCAGGTCCTCTTTATGTTTAGAACTAAATCCTTTGGTCTCGTTTTCAAGTCCTCTTTCAAAGTTCAAAAGGTTTAGAACCAAATCCTTTTGTCTGGTTTTCAGGTCCTCTTTCAAAATTCAAAAGGTTTAGAACCAAATCCTTTTGTCTGGGTTTCAAGCCCTCTTTCAAAATTCGAAAGGTTTAGAACCAATTCCTTTTGTCTGGTTTTCATGTCCTCTTTCTGTTTAGAACAAAATCCTTTTGTCTGGTTTTCAAGCCCTCTTTCAAAATTCGAAAGTTTTAGAACCAGATCCTTTTGTCTGGCTCTCGATCTTCATGGTTGTTTACACATATACTTGTGGTGAGTGTTGCCAAACAATACACTATTTACATAAATGAACCTGTGCGATTATCCAGCAGAACTAGTCAAAACTCTTAAATTCTTTAGACATTCCAATACACACACAAACACACAGTGAAAATAATAACCACCCAATTACAAGATCTTTCCCTCGAGATCACTCGAAACTTAAATATTAATCAAAGAACATTCATCAATTACAAGTTAACTCTCGATCCTATAATAGCTTAAGTTTCCTACGGCTGTCTTGGTTTTGATCTACAATTTTCTGTTGCGGCGAATTATAACTGTAAGCAGTTGCGCATCTAATTGTCCTAAATTAAAGATGTTAACAGATAGTTTATGTAACTTTTTGCTTCTGTATCTTACATCACACTTTTAATTCGTTTCTATCACAGCTCGTTGATAATAGAATTTGAAAATTCCGAAACGTTTCGATTAAAGAAATGTTTGTTGCAACAACTGTGGTGTTTTTGTTTATTGATAAACAAACTCATTTATCTAGATAGAATAATCTGTAAAGAAAATTAATCAAAATATACTGTCATGTTCAAATAATCATAACTATGCCACGACAGCCATAAGTTAAAGAATAAATGTGTATAAATAATCATAACTATGCCACGACAGCCATAAGTTAAAGAATAAATGT